TTACCATGCATTATAACCCATACATTCCTAGTTTCCTCCTGCCTAGAAGTCTTCGACTGGTAGTCTGTAATCTGCAGATAGGCAACACGATTCTTTTGTAGGTAGAAGTCAGTAGAGAGATTTAGCTATGGCCCTGCTGAATCAGATTGGCTGGCCTAGCATCACTTTCCTGCCTGGTAGAGAGGTGTTCAGCTAGGGCCAAGTAAGCATCTGTAAATGGGCACCACTTCAGTCCAGTGGCTCATGTTCATCTTACTGATGGTACTTGCATATGCCTCTATTAACCCTGAGGTTATTTGTTTTAGTCAACAGTTAAGCCTCCTATTGTTGGGCTCAATCATGGGTGGGGAGAGATTACTAATATTGTATGTATAGTCTTCATACTGCTCAATCTGTTGACCCTTGTGGCACCCCTGAACTCTCCTCAGATCTGGTAATGCTTTCATGCACTGCTTTGTTGCCTGATCCAGGTGATGGCATCTACCTGACACCTTTGATGCCTCTGACCTTTGCAGTTTTCTTATGAGTGCAAAATTCACTGTCTTGAGGAATGGGAAGGCTTATCATACACTGTGGCAGTGACTTAACTCCAAGGAAGGCTTCCACAGTTCTACTCCAGATCTGCTCGGCACCCACAAGTCCCTGCTGTATCCTCTCCCACAGTCAATTCTGTGTCCAGCCCTTATGAAATCCTAGCCTCTTGACATTCCTACCTTGATACCTCCTATTTTTCCTTCATCTTTTATTTTTCATGTTTCTTTCCCTACATAGGCTTTCCCAACCGGGCTTTCAACTAGACTCCAAATACCTTTAGTTTCTAAAACTCCTTGCCCACTTATTACTCCTTCATGCTTCACTTGCCTAATCGCAGTGTCTTGCCCTGCTGTGACAGTAGAAGCCCATCCACATCCACATACTGTCACTACTTTCCCTGTATTCACTCAGACTCACTATCCTCTAACAGTTTCTCACCATTGTACCAGTTGCCAATGTCACTCCATCTACTCCTTTCACCTTCTTGTACTATGCCATCTGCTACTGCCTTGCCTACAGAAACACCTCCAGTCATATTGAATTATACTGAAAAGACAACCCACTATGGATCTTGACCCACCCTTCATACCTTCACATTCTCACCCTCCATACCCCTCAAGGAAGGTTCCTTGATGTTGGTGAGGGGCTCTTGATTTAGGGAATTGGATCTGTGCTCCAGTTCCCCGAATTAAGCCTGAATGCCTTCCACATTCCCCCCCCCCAGGCGCTGTATAATCCTCCGGGTTTAGCGCTTCCCCCTTGATTATAATAATAATAATCACCCTCCATAACCCCTATATCTACTCCTGCCCTACATTTTAAATCTACAATACCCACAAATCTCTTACTACTGCTATCTCCACACATTGACTACTGATCACTACAGCTAATAGCCACCAGCTATTATCTGTTACTCCTGAATTGCTAAATTACTCATAATGGCAGTATTGCAGTGGAATATCAGAGGGTACAGGAGGTATCAAGGAAAGCTCCAGTTGTTGCCCTCCCATTTAACCCCCTATATGTGTTTGTTTACTAGAATTAAAATTGTTACATAGTTGGACTTCCTATTTCTGGCTATGTTTTGGTACAGTCATTAGATCCATTTCCCGATGAGACACATGAGAGTGCACTTGCGTGCAACGATATCCCTTATTTTTGACTTCTAGTTCATATTCCGCTTCACTATACTGTAGCCCGAGTATTTGGGCAAGTGGTACACTTTATAAGATTCGTCCAACTAGGTATATTTCTACACCATAGGAAGGTTAGCATAGGCACCACTGTGACCACAAATGCAAGTTTTTACAGATGAATCTCCAGCTAGCGTGGTCACAGTGGTGCCTATGCTAACCTTCCTATGGTGTAGAAATATACCTAGTTGGACGAATCTTATTGTGGCTAGCTGGTCTAGTGGCTAACGCGACGGTCTGGAGTTTTGAGACTCTGACCGCGGGTTCAATCCCAGCCGGGGTATGGTTTGTTTGCAATCATGTCATTACGATTTCGTGAGTCATGTTGACGGCAGTGAGGGGACTTGAGCTAGAGTTCGTCACGGCCACGCTAGCTGGAGATTCGTCTGTAAAAAACTTGCATTTGTGGTCACGGTGGTGCCTATGCTAACCTTCCTATGGTGTAGAAATATACCTAGTTGGACGAATCTTATTGTGGCTAGCTGGTCTAGTGGCTAACGCGACGGTCTAGAGTTTTGAGACTCTGACCGCGGGTTCAATCCCGGCCGGGGTATGGTTTGATCCCCATATGTTTAAATTTTCACGCTCATTCTCTTTCCTGTATTGATATTTACATGTATCTTTCTATAGTACTTGACTTTAATTGGTCTGTAGTACCTAATCTTCATGATAGCAATCATTTCCCTCTTCTTACGTCACAAGAATTCATTTTGAAGCCTAAGTAGATTTGACTAGGATAACATGCATATAAACAAGTACATACAAAGTAAACATACAGATATCAGTCAAGCTCAGGCTTGGTTACAAGCACAGTACATGTGGCACCTTGGTACATACGTACAAGGAAAATGTTATGATAGTCTGCCTTCTAGTCACTGTCTTGAACATTGCCTCACTGTTCATTGATAGGGACATTAGTATACCTTCATTGGGGAGGAGGGGGGATTGCCTTCATGCTGATGAAGGGCTTTTGATCTAAGGAATTGGGTATATTCTCCCCTTCCTTGGATATAACCTAGTTACCTCTCATTCCCTAGGCATTGTATGACCCTTGCATATTTACAACTTCCCCATGAATTTCATAATTGAAACATAGTTGTAATAAAGCACATGGTAAAAATGACCTAATTGGTGTATCCTAATGCTCTCGCAGTACTGTCCACTTTATAGATATGTAGTACACAAACAGCGGCTGGTTCAGTAGGAAAAATACAGTTCAGTTCGTTTGTCTAGAATATCCTGGATAAGTGGAGTCATCCAGTGCTTATACCTAACTCATGAGTCATTTGATAGTATCATGGCCCTTGTCGGTTTAGCACTTTATTTGATTTTAGTAATTGTTGAAAGTATCTGACGCACAAGGTGAGTTTTAGGAAGGTAATCATAGGTGATGTATTTCTATAGAAGGGCTGGGTTTCTGCTCATGAATTCAGTACGAAAGGCTTTACATTGGTAATTAGAATTATAATGGCAAAATGTTAAAAGATATATACGGTGAAGACTCGCAGGGTTGTTTGCATTTTTTTTTTTTTTTAGTTTCCAGGGTGCCATAATTTATAAACAGCATTGCTTTGTATCTAAATTTGCAAACAATGCTAACTGAGAAATACAATGTGGCTTCCTAATCTCATGTCTGAGATAAGGCCATAACACTGGTGGCAAGAAACATTAGAAACTTTGTTACTATTGCATCAAGTAACACTTTCATCCCTTGGGTTAGCGCTGTGACCCTAATGGGTTTAGTGCTTGATTTTGATTATAACAACATCCCTTGGATTGACAGCCTAATGCGTAAGTGAAAGATGGAGTAAAACAAGGCACTATGCAGAGCAACCCCTCAAGGAAGGTTCCTTAATGCTGGTGAGGGGCTCTTGATCTAGGGAACTGGATCTGTGCTCCAGTTCCCTGAATTAAGCCTGAATACCTTCCATCCCTCCCCCAAGCACTATAATCCTATGGGTTTAGTGCTTCCCCCTTGATTATAATAATAATATGCAGAGCAAGCATTTATTGAGTTTTGCAAAAATGTGAGCTTTATAAATTCCAAGCTGTATAGCCCTTGTGGCTTAGCGCTTCTTTTTGATTATAATAATAATATAAATTCCAACCTTCTTTTTGATTATAATAATAATATAAATGCCAACTCCCGAGGGAGGTCCCTTGATGATGGTGGGGGCTCTTGATCTAGGGAACTGGATCTGTGCTCCGGTTCCCTGAATTAAGCCTGAATGCCTTCCATTCCTCATTCCCCCCCCCCACAAATGCTGTATAATCTCTACGGGTTTAGAGCTCCCCATAAATTCCTACAGAGAAACAAACGTGAATATCACAGGTGTATAACCCCTTTGGGTCTAGTGCTTAGTTTGATTATATTACTATTATTTACCACAACACAACAGTTAAAGAATTATCAAAAAGTACAATTGTGACATGAGGTGAGGCTTGGCATCATCATGCAAGCTGCCTGTAATTATTTCAGAGAATGACTTCAAGAGCTGTGCGATGCTTAAGTGTGTTCAATTCCATACCACAAAGTGCACAAATTTATCATAATGCATTGCCCATGTTGCTGACATTACGGGTTCTGCATATCCATTCTTTAACTCTACTGCGCTGTATGACCATTGTGAGTTTAGCGCTTAGTAATAATAATGAAAAGAGCATGAGATTTCACTCGTAAGACAAGTTTTATACCCTGATGCTGGCGAGGTGCTCTTGATCTAGGAAATTGGAACTGTTTCAATTCCCTGAATTAAGCCTGAATGCCCTCCCCCCCAAAGGCGCTGTATAATCCCTACGGGTTTAGCGTTCCCCATAATTTCTTTGTCCCGTCCCTGTCCTCTCATCCCCTCAAGGAAGGTTCCTTGATGTTGGTGAGGGGCTCTTGATTTAGGGAATTGGATCTGTGCTCCAGTTCCCCGAATTAAGCCTGAATGCCTTCCACATCCCCCCCAGGCGCTGTATAATCCTCCGGGTTTAGCGCTTCCCCTTGATTATAATAATAATAATGTCCTCTCATATATACATTGACCCCCGCACCTTCGTGTGTTAATGTGACTAGTTAATGTTCCAAGCCGGACCTTAACATCGTCATAAGCTTCTTTCTCCTATGTGCGGGTTATCTGTATAAGTTTTATACTGTTATGTCAGCTTGCCTATCATTACCCTAGGTAAAAGATGTCAGAGAGAGAATGTAGCTATGGTGAAACATTTTCATAGATGTCTAAAACTATTAATCATAAATATACCCCCCAAAAATCTAATTATCATAAAATCAAAATTCCATTTCAGAGGTTCAGCAGTCCACTTCCGTCGTGATTTTATTCCTTGTTTTGTATGGGAGTAACAATCCTCATTTGTGAGTTAGGCTTAACTTTCTGGCGAGACTTGAAGTAGATAAGAATCACATCGACCAGGAATTCCATCAGCTCCACCACAGTCATCAGTGACATGCCGATAAACAGCCCCAAGTTACCACCAACATTAGACACAAGTGTGTCCCACTGCGGGTGTAAACAAGAATTATTTTTTTAAGTTAGGAATTAGGCAGATCATTACTACGGGATTAAAATTCTTGCACTTTATGCAATAATTTTATTATCCCTTAAATTCTCCTTAAATCTTAGTGTCTTTCAAGTCAGTAGAAGCTATATATGTGTACATGATGTATACTGTGGATGTTTACTTAGAGTTATTCACATTCTACATAACAGAAATGAAGTACAATATAGTGCAGTATACAGTATTTAATGATATAAAATTATGCCTCAAGTAAGAGGTTCATGTAATGTTTTTTTTTTCTTTCGGATTCACAGAGTTGTTTTCATGTCAGCGTTGTATGACCCTTGTGGGTTTAGCGGTTAGTTATGATTATAATGCTTATTCATGCGGTTTGTTGTTACTTTATGTATGAAATTAATCTATTTGTAATAACCTAATTTACACCTTATGAAGTTTTCAGTTGTTAAAGCATTTACTGCTCACTGACTCTCAGTTCAGTTCAGGTGTGTTACATGTGTTGTTAAGACTTCTGTATGTTGCTGCCTCTACTGTAATGACTCATCTGTATGATTCCTTTGCTTTATGATTTCGTCCATGCTGCCTAAATTGTGCAATATGACTTTTCTATTTACTAAATACCAATAAATGAAGACTTACCGTGTAGGCGGGGCTCTCTTGAATGATCTCGTAATTAAGGGAGTCCAGGTAGAGGTGGATGCGAACTGCATCACTCGAGTTTCTTTGGGAGAATTACACTTGCTTTAGTGTCCAATAACAATTATTTATATAGTCTACCATAATGTTGTAAATGGCTATCAAATCAGATGCTAGAATTAGAATAGGGCCTCAGTATGATACAATACGGGCTCATAGCTCGATAACGGCCCAACAAATTTACTTAGGCCAATAACTTAAGCAAATTCTCAGCAAAAACAGGAAGGCTACATTTAAAATAGGCTAATTATTAATATTACTCTAGTGACAACTAAGCGCTAAACCCACAAGGTAAAATAAGGTAAGAGACAGGCTATTAGTTTTGTCTTCACGGTTAAATAGAGATGTGTATATAACCACTTTAGTATATTTTGATGTATGTGTACTGAGAGAGATACAAGTATATTTCAAGGGGGTGTATGTATACACTGAGTTTACTGTACTCTTTCTGTGCAGCGATGTATGACCCTGGTGGTTTAGCGCTTAGTTTTAATGATAATAATACAATCATAATAATAATAATGTAATCCCTATTCTAGGATTAAAACAATCGTGACTGGTGATGCACAGGTTGAAAGTAGTTACAATGCGTGGTCGATTAGTTTGAAACCAAATGTATAAACCAACTAGGCCTAAATATAGTACTGTAATTGAACTACCATTATTTTCCATCTGTACACATACACACAAAAAAATAAATAATTTAACCTTATTTTTTATTAGACATCTTGCTGCTATGGTCTACAACTGCCTATTCAGCGTTGTATGACTGTTTCAGGTTTAGCGCTTTACTTGATTACATTATTATTAAAGTGACTATAGTGATACAAACAACAAACTGATCAAGTGTCTAAAACAGACAAATGCTGTTCATTCTGGCAGTTCAAGGAAAGTGTTCAGGAATTGGAGGGTTGCCCGTCTCTTCCATGGATCAAACCTGATTGTTGCCTTTTTCCCAGGTGTGGCACGACCCATACAAGTTTACCACTTTCTCATGAATACAGAGCAACAATAATTATACTCACCCCCCACACAAGTCATCTGCCAACTTCCTCTTCACCAAATTCTGAATTATTACGTAGAATGGTTTATTTTCCTCACTTAATGTCACCTGGCTGTCATATATGGTCTCGCTGTAGACACGAGAAGACACTAATAAGCAGCATAATGTAGGTATCATAGTCATGGTCTTTCACTCATAGTATATTCAGTAACGCACAATATACCATCAAAAATATTATGAATATTTAACTAAAAAGATGTTACTGTACAAAATGAAACCCATTATGGAGTATCGTGTCTGAGAGCAATGTATAGTGTGAATATTGTGCAGAAAATTTAGAGTGCAGACAATAGGCCGTATGGGGTGGGGGTCACCGAGTGGGAGGGGGATTGTTGAGGTGTTTGGGCATATATAAAGGATGGGAAGGGATAGGATGATGGGACACTCCCCACTGGGGGAGTCAATTCAAGATAGAAGAAGTTACCCTCCAACCGGAGGGCCCAAGAGAGAAGATAGAAGAATGAAGAAGATGAACGACACCCCCGCCCAGGGGGCCACCGCCGGGTCACCATCTGGAGAAGACCCGGGCCGGAAGTACCGGCAAATCTTTAATGAATGAATGAATGAAGGATGATGGGGCGGAAGAAAGGAGGGGTCCCAGGAACACTTGAAGGGAGAGGGTAAAAAAGGCTTTGAGTTCTTGGAGGCCTTATCATCCAAGAGGCTTGTGTATGTGTGTGTGTTATAGTAGTGAATGGAAAAGTTTTTTTTTAATGGATTTGCTGATGAAATGTGAGCAAAGCTTTATGAAGAGATTCAGGGAAACCAGTTAGCCGAACCTGAGTCTTGGAGGTGGGAGAGGCAGTGCCTGCACTCTGAAGGAAGGATGGTGATAGTGCAGGCAGAAGGGTAATCTGAATTGTGATATTAGCATACTTCTGGCAAGACAGTAATTTAATAAATTATAGTGCATTTCCTTCTTTGGGTCATCCTGCCTTAGCAAGAAATTTAAATAATATATAGTAATTTAAATAATATATAGGATACTGTATTTCACAGTGAGCTGTACAAAAATTACAGTACTGAGTGATGTTAGATATAAATTATTATATAATGTTGTTACCAGCTGAGAAAAGGGCCAAGCATTTATTACTATTAATGATTATTACAGGGTATTATCATTATTTTTTTATTACAGGTTTTATTTTGGGAAACAATATCATTAGCGAAATATAATTATATTTATAGATGGTAGTAGTTGTTGTAACATACAGAGCACTTAATAATAATAATAATAATAATAATAATAATAATAATAATAATAATAATAATAATAATAATAATAATCTTTATTTCTACAAGTACATGTACAAGGTATACAGGCCTATCTGACATCAATGACATACTACTGTATAGAAAGCCCCTTGTATTGTAGAGCATTTCGAGGAAATTAGGTAAATTTTGTCCCCAGGATGCGACCCACACCAGTCGACTAACACCCAGGTACCTATGTTATCGCTAGGTGAACATGAACAGCAGGTGACTTAAGGAAATTTGTCCTAATGTTTCCAGCCGTACTGGGGATCGACCCCCGGACCAGTGGGTGACCTGAGTGAGCTTTGACCACCTAGCTCAACTAGTACTTATAGCCATAAATATATATATACAACAAACACAAGAATAAATTAAGCAATAGAAGCAGTGAACATTAAACACTCAACACAAATATTATCATACTAAGTCATAATAACCAGCATCAATTTAAAAAGTCATTAGTCAAAATACTCTCTTAAAAGTTCCCCGAGCTTCCCTGGCAATGATAAAAACATTTATAGATGAGGTGAATGCTAATGTGCTGAGAGCGAGGTGTAAGATTAAAAAAAAGTGAATCTGATACGAAGTGGGAGATACTCCAGCTGCTTTTTTGCTGACGAATGTTCTCTTTTGGATATAGAAAAGACAATTTACGAAGGTTGGTTGCAGAATTTGGGAGGATATTAAAAGTGAACATAGGAAAGAGCCAGGTGATGAAAGAGAAAAAAAAATATAGTCAGTGAAAAATTGGATATTAAATTGGAGGGAAAAAGCATGGAGGAAGTGAATGTGTTCAGATATCTGTACTGGGTCCATGAAAGTTGGGGTAAACCACAAAATTAAGAAGGGAAAATTGATGGGTCGTGCAGTGAATTATCTCTGGAAACAAAGTACTTTATTCGTGGAGGCAAAATGGGGAATGTATAGTTGTACCAACACTGTTGTACGGGCGTGACTAATGGTTTTTAAACGTTGCAGCGAGGAGGAGGCTGGAGGTAGTGGAGCTGCCATGTCTGAGGGCAATTTGTGGTGTGAATACTGAGCAGAAAATTGGGAGCTTAGAAATTAGATGGTAAGTAGGTATTAGGTTTGTCAGGAAACAGGACAAGTGTTTCCTGACGTTGGTCTTAGTCATCTGATGACCCACAGCTTGTGGAGATTTCGGTCATCAGACCGAGGCCTTCCACTGGCTTACCACTCCACCCCTTTAAAAATTATGGTTATAATTATATGGACAATTTTGATAATTTTCCTGGGATCTGTGAGAACTGATGGAGATAATAACGTTTATCTGAAATTGTGTAGGTGTGTATCTTCATTGACTTTTAAAAGATGCTCTGTGACATAAGGACTAAGAATATTCTCTAATATTTCCTTATATTCTGTAAGGAGTTGAATAAGTAAAGTGAAAAATGTTGTAATCTAGAGGAAATGAATATTTCAATAATAAAAGTGTAGTACACACCTGGAAATGTTATTAAATTAATTGAAAAGATGTATTGGTAGACAAAAGTTGAGGAGAGCAACGAAAATGGCGGAGTAATACAGATCGTAGCGGGAGTTTGTGGAGAATTTCATGTTTTCTAAGCCAATAGAAATAGTATCGGCAAATACAGTGTCTTATATAATAAGTGAATTTAACGTGTATCTGGAAGAGTTCAGATATAAAGTAAAATTATCAAAATAAAGATGATGCGCAAGAAAACATGAGCTGTTGCTGGAGGATCTACATTGTCCACCAGTGTGAACTAAATCTCACTACATGTAATGTATATATTTATTGGCCAATAGTATTTATCAGCCTGCTAGGGAGGTGTTAGGATATATCAAGACCGTAATTTGGTAAGATATATTCTTTTTTGCATAATGTATAAAATTTTATATAAATCAGTCGTCAAGGTCAATAATTTCTTTATATATACACTCCACAACCAAATTTAATCCAGCCAGTGTTACTGGCTTGGAATATTTTGTTTAATAGATTCTAGAACATAATTTAAGGTCCAGATGTGAGTTTGGGAAGCGAGAAGGTGGACATGAAGGAGGGACAGTGTAGTGACCCACTGTTGCTACAGTCCCACTTGTCTCTCAGGTACAACTGGCAGTTTAGGGGGTTAACGCCCCCGCGGCTCGGTCTGAGACCGGGCCTCGTGGTGGATCGGGGTCTGATCACCCAGGCTGTTACTGTTGGTCGCACGCAAACTTGACGTACGAACCACAGCCTGGTTGGTCAGGTACTGACTTCAGGTGTCTGTCCAGTGCCTTCTTGAAGACAGCCAGGGGGTCTATTGTGTATTTTGTTTTAGAAGTGCCAGAGTTCTCCCCAGCTATGTGTGTGAAATGTTAATTCAGGATTGTACCTGTGAAATTCACTCACATAATTTCTCAAAGACAACGTTTCCATCAAGTAGTGGAGATTAGATGTCAAGTTACCCGAAGTATTATTCGGAGGAATGGATGTTGAGGTGTTTTTAACATTTAAAAGAGGATGGAATAAAATAGAATGACTAAGTGGGCGAGGTGGAGTCATCCCAGGAAAGGTTGGAGGTAGCGGGGGTGGGGGGTTAAATCAGGCTTTTTTGAACACATTAGATAGGAATGGAGGCAAGTGGGTTTTTTTTTTGAGTGAACATAATGTTGGAGTGCGAGCAAATATGATGTTATTTAGGGCAACCAGTTAGCCGAACTTGAGTTCTGGAGGCGAGAAGTATAGTACCTACACTCAGGAGGGGTGAGGGAGAGACTGGAGTTCTGGAGGCGAGAAGTATAGTACCTACACTCAGGAGGGGTGAGGGAGAGACTGGAGTTCTGGAGGCGAGAAGTATAGTACCTACACTCAGGAGGGGTGAGGGAGAGACTGGAGTTCTGGAGGCGAGAAGTATAGTACCTACACTCAGGAGGGGTGAGGGAGAGACTGGAGTTCTGGAGGCGAGAAGTATAGTACCTACACTCAGGAGGGGTGAGGGAGAGACTGCTGTTGGGAGACTAGTCTAAAATGTGATGTCAAACGCTTCTGGCAAGACAGTGTGAGAATGAGAGCCGGTAAATGTATTTCTTTTTGGGGTCACACTGCCTCAGTGGAAGATGTCCGGTGTATGAAATATATATATATATATATATATATATATATATATATATATATATATATATTATATATATATATATATATATATATATATATATATTTTTTTTATGACGTACGAATATTCTTAAGTGCTTTTAGTTCAGCATCACCTGGGACTCCAATGAAAATAAGTAACTCCGATTTTTCAGGTTGTCCTCGGCAATTTACACATTTGTTACTATGTATGATAACTGTAATCACCTAAATATGTATAACTGTACTTATATATGCCTATACCTAAATAAAATTACTTAGGAACATAGTGTAAAGCTAAAAAAAAAATTCTAAATAAAGCTTCGTTCTAGGTAAAGCATTTTCTAGTTATGAATTATAAAGCTCTACCCAGTGTTTACATTGCAACTTCCTAACATTCTCTCCTACATGATGGGTATGGGGTACATAAAGATGTTAAATTAACTTTCTCAGCAATGCCTGCCATCCTACAAGAGCTTACCTGCAGGCTGGTGGACAGTCACATATTAAATTCTGCTGCTGGTAATTGAACCTCACCATCTCCATACAAAGCTCTGAAAGAGACAGACCAAAATTTAAGACATATCTGGCAACCAATTTTCCAGAAAAGTGGCAGTAATATTAATACACAACATGCATTTCATTCTTGTCAATGCAAATGCTGTCGAAAAGTGTCGAAAACTATTTTAAAAATTTAACGTCATTTGCTAGACATATTTACATAAATGAAATAAACTGTCAGTGACCTACGGTGGCTAACATTGGCGATATCACAAGGAGTCTGAGGCTTGGGTAGACGAGAATCGTAAGCAGGACTTTTCCCCGCATAGCAGTAACACCTTTGCCAATATGCTTGTTCAATACACATCCTCTTGCAGCGCTATTAATTAAAAAAGGGATCACAGATTTATTCAGATAACAGATTAAAACTTTTGAAGACTACCATCTCTGTTTTACCCTCAGTATCATGAGCTGCTAGACTTCCATTACTAATGGACCTGTGCTCTAATTCTTTAAACAGTCCGAATGCCTTACATTTCCCAGGCACTGTACGACCCCTACGGGTTTAGCGCTTTCCCATGAATACAATAATAACTAAACCTACTGCTTTCTATCACAGTCATTCTGACTTTCAAGACAGTCATCCTTAATTCCTGAAAATAGAGCAATTCTTTCCTTAGATCAAACATCAAACATATATGCATCCCATTCATGGGTTTAGCATTTTCCCACGAATATAATATACATGACAGCCAGTACATAAATATCCCGCACATAAGAGACCGAAACTTATGACAACGATTCAGTCAGACTTAGACCATTAACTAGTCACACAGAAGTGCGAAGGGAAGGAAGCCAGAAAATATACAAGCGTGGCATACACTCCCGAGAAGCAAGATAAACATTCTTCCCTTCAGTTTTTTTTTTTTTTACCTAATCCGCCGCCTCTCACGAAGATAGTGACCCAAGAAGAGGAAATATTCACTATCATTCATTCAATTGCTGTTTTGCTAGAAGTGTTCTAACTTCACAATTCAGATAACCCTCTGATTGCAATATCCCCATCACTCCTTCAGTGTCCTCTCCACGTCCAAGACTTAAGTCCGGTTAACCAATTCCTGAATCCCTTCATAACTGTTACGTCGTTCACACTCCAACAGCACGCCCATTAAAATCCGTTCACTATTGTTTAACACACTCCTACAGCCTGGTTGATCAGGCCCTGATCCACCACGAGGCCTGGTCATGGACCGGGCCGCGGGGGCGTTGACCCCTGGAACACCCTCCAAGTATACTCCAGGTAAGTCTGATACTCAAGCCCCTAAAACTCAAAGCCTTATTTACCCTCACCATTCAATCATCTACCTCTCCTTCCTTCTACCCCAGATTTATATCTCCTCTTACGGGTTTGGCGCTTAATTTGATTATATTATTGTCTTCCCAACCTCTTCATCCTCTCTAAATGCCCAAACCAGCTCAATAACCCCCCCCTCAGCCATCTGAATTATACCCATAGTGATCCCATACTGTCCTCTAATTTCTACACTTCAGATCCTCTGCACTATACGTTGCTTTCAAACATAACTTCGCAATTGCATATAGCTTCCTTCTTGCTGCAAAGCTCAAAGCTCATGCCCCACACCCATATCAAAGTGCTGATGCCACTATACTCTCGTACACTCCCTTTCTTTCCTTTGCCCCCATAGATAAACTTTTGTTTTTTTCCACAAATGCTATGAGTTGTAGGCTACTCTGGCACATAAAATAGCTGTTAAACATTGAATGAGGGGGAAGGTAGGGGGTGAGATAGGTAAATATAACTTTATTTAACGTATTATTTAGTTATGTATGGCATTTTGCATGTTTGTAGTGTCAGTGAATTGCTAATCAAACACATTTATACGTTGAATATGCGTGCGAAAAATATGTACATAATGTGTACGCGTAAATTTACCCTTGTGAGGTAAATGGACACGGAGGCAACTAATGTGACATTTTATTGTGGCAACGTTTCGCTGTCCATTTTGTCGGTATTTCTATCATTACCAAATTTACCCATGCTGTGACGTGACATTTGTCGTTCATCATCCTTATTTTTGTCACTCAAAAAACTAATTAAAAGCATCCAAGCATTTGTAGTTTTGTATTAATGTTGGTAGGATTACAGACAGTATGTTAAGTAAAAGGACAAAAGTGCAGTTAACGCGACATTTTTTGTGGTAACATATCAAGACCTTTACAGTATGTACTATACTTTAAAGCTGTTGCTTTCAAATTTTGGAAGCTGAAATAAATTTGTCCATTATTTAACAATATTCCGTTAAACTTCTCAGTATCATCGAGATTGTAGTGTGCTAAACGGATCCAGGAAAGTCACGGGAAAAGTCACAACCTTACTTAACCTAATGCGACTTTTTTCCACTGACTTTTTCCTAGCCAAAATTGTGACCATTTTTTCTGTGACTTTTGTCCCGGACACCGTGCTAAACATGTCGAGTGTGCAAACACTGAAATAAGAAGAGGAAAACTAAACTGGTTGATACTTACAACAGCTGAATACTCAGTGAAGATTTGAGAATCTGTGTCAGACCTGCAGTTACCGTGCGGTTTGCCTACCCTGATCAGCTTCCTCTGCAATCAGATACAAATAAAAAGGCACAATACCGTGACTGGAATAATACACAAATAACCCGTACATACGAGAAACTTATGACGACAACGTTTCGGTCCGACTTGGACCATTAGTTTATTGTGCACCCGATATCCATCTTATAAAAGGTAGCGCAAGAGCGTATGGATACGCAAAAGGCCTAGGAACTAGGGCCCAAAAGGGGTTAACAGGAGTACATCTGGGTTTATATCTGCAGTTCACTTATCTGTTACAAGCAAATTTAGGAAATTTGCTTAATATATCTGTGGAAAGTACTTGAGGGCCTAGTCCAAATCGGCACGCTACTATAGCGACATATAAAGAGAAAATGTAAAATAGACCCAGTGAAAGGCAGAGATGCCGTGGGCATAATAAGAGAACACTGTATCAACATCCGTGGGGGATGACTGTTTAACACTCTACCACATGATATCAACAACACTGCCAGAACCAGTGTATAAGTCTGCAAGAGGAAATTAATCAACCAGGCTGTGATGGATATGAGGGCCAGCAGGCCACTGGCAGCAATAACCTAGTTAATCAGGGAAGCACCATACAAGATTGGCCCCGGGCTGAAGGAGGAAAACTCGAAACCTGTCAAAGGTATATCCAAGGTCCATTATTAGTGAACACATGTTCTACTCACCCTGGCAATACAGGCCATGATACAAACATCTGGGGAGACATACTCACCCTGGTGATGCGAGCAGACACACTAACACCTGGAGAGATGTTAAAGCCTTCATCCTCCGGGAAAGGTAGCTGGTAGGGGCTGTGTACAATGACCCTCAAGCCTATGTCTTGCGACAACAGCGCCAAGTAGTTGCTCTGGTGGATGTTAATTGTCAGTCGTAGACCATACTGTAAAGCAAAGCAAAGTTCAAGTAGCGAAGCAGTATGTCTAAAGAATGCACCACATAACCCCTACGAGTTTAGCACTCCCCCGTGAATATAATAACAATAATAATAAATATACAGGAAGCCCATGGACTCGAATGGTAGAGTGCCTTTAGCCAAGGGCAAAACTGTTCACACAGTCACCCAGCCAGTTACTGACCAGATCCAACACACCTTAACCTGACTGACTGAGCAATTCATTTATCGAAAAATGGCATGGTGATACCGACACAATGTGGAAAAAGATTCATATGTACAGTTCAGGACACTTAATAGAGGAAACGTTTCGCTACGAGTGACTTCTTCAGTCCTCTAATAAATGTCCTCAACGGTACACAAGTGTCTTTTTCCACAAAATTCATATATAAACCATACAGTTCATTTATCAACATATGAGGGTTACACAATGATGAAATAAATGACCACAGTATTCAAAATCATATACTTATGTACACTACACTGCTAATTGCATAATAAAGTGACGCAGTAGAGATATACATTAAAGAGGATAAATGAGCGATGAATGTGACATCTCCATCCTGTACTTACGTTGGGGCCGACTAGGGAGGTATTAACAGGAGCGGCATTAACTTCTCTGTTATTCTCGACCTTGATCTTGAGGAAGGCAGAATTATAGGTATAGCACTTGCCATAGCTGTCACTGTTCCACACGTAGAAGTCCCTGACGAGGAGAACTAGAAACTCAGTAGAGTTGTAAAAATGAAAGCGACATTGTTATATAAAGAAGCAGAAGGAAATCTCTAGGAAACCACTCACTTTCCACTTGATATGTATTTAGTGCTTAAGTTTCCCTGCAAAAAAAAGATGTGTAGATGCTGACGGGATCTTAATCCTTGGAATTGGAGCTACTTTCTCCTTCATATCAAACCTAGTTATGTCCCATTCTCCAAGCCCAGTATGACTCGAAGTCTATAAGGAGTTTAGCTTTTTCCAATAATAATTAAATCTACCTTCAAAACATTGATCTGTATTGATTTCATATAGAAAAAATTATACTGACACATGTACAGTATTTATATATGAAAGTGTTGGAGGTAATTAATGACTGGCAGAGAGGTAGAATATTACAGATGCAGAAATCTGCCAAGCATTCCTTTGGTGTGGATACATTCTGAATCCTGAGTCTTGTGCTCATCTGGAAGGATAGTTAATAAACAGGTGATGAGAAATTATTTTCCTTCTTTCAGCCACCTATCTTAGTTCAGTTAAAATGACCAACGAATTTATAAAATCATAACTTGTCTTAAAACATCCTGGCCCTTTAATAATTTACATAAATATATTTTGTTCACTGCACTTACCTGTAAGAGCAGGCCCGTCGGTCGCGAGTACAGGTGTTGATTGATTCATTGACAGGTACTGAATAATTATCAAGGTCTTCAGAGTTAGGTGCGTACATCTCCATCACGTCAGAGAAATCAGGTGTATGGCTGTTGTTGAAGACTTGTGTTATCTCCTCCTCTCTCACGTAAGCATCGCCCAGTGATGATAAAACTAATATATGAAGGTAACTCACTGCTTAATATAACATTCATGTTTGTGCTTCTTAATATATATATAATATATATATATATATATATATATATATATATATATATATATATATATATATATATATATATATATATATATATATATATATATATATATATAATATATATATATATATATATATATATATATATATATATATATATATATATTTATAGGGAGGTACCACCTCTAGAACTGTCGTAGGGACCCTCATCCTCAGAGAAAAGAATAAACTTGCTTCAGGGAAAACTCAAGGTTCTCCCTGAAGCTGTTTGAGAACTTTCTCCTACCACCCCCTATATTTCAAGTATGTTTTATTTAAAGACAAAATACATTGGCCAAACATTCACAAAAATACAACAGAAAGTAAAACAACATAGGTAACTCAGAGCTACATCTCGAATACTTCGTCCAGCTCCCCTGCGGTGGGCCGCATGCCCAGAATGCTGCAGGCATTTCCTCTCTGGATCGCAACACTGAGTCTCTGAAAGAGGAAGCTGGTCGCCCTGTGGTCCTTGGTTTCTTTGATGAGCTTTTCACCTAGCTCTTTGAGGAACTTTAGAGCACACTTGCCCCATGCTCCAAGGGTCTCCGACTCTATTGGAATGAAGTTATAGCAAGGGGGAAGGTCTTCATATTTTCGGATCTTCTGGGTCTCCCTGTGGCTGGCAGCTCCACCCCCTTCCACTACAGAGTATGGCAAGTAGGTGTCTGCCAGTGTGGCAGCACAGGTGTAGTCCCAGGCAATCTGCTTTCCATCCTTCCAGGGTAGCATAGTGGCTCCATCAGGACGCTTTTGACTTCCATCAGACCTCTGTACTTGGGGTTCCCGTTGAGCTGGGCAACGGGCTGTGGCGAGGCTTCTCTTTATTATGTCATTGACCTCCTCATGTCTGGCATACTTCCCTTCTGCTGTGTGACACACGAGACCATGAAGTCCGAATTGATCAGCTGTCGCCCTGCCGCAAATGCACCTATGTTCGGTGAGGATGGGGGCGGCTAAGCGAAGAGCAACACCAATCCGAATGGCCTGTGGGTCGAGACGGATGCCCAGGGAGGAATTGGGAACAGCTAACAGGAAATCTGAGTGTGGTGCCTTCACTGCCAGGAGACGAGCTTTGTTCTTTCCTGAAGCATTACCTGGAGACCTGGAGTTTACCTGGAGAGAGTTTCGGGGGTCAACGCCCCCGCGGCCCGGTCTGTGTTGGCGATTTTTTCCATGATCGGTTTGTCCCAGTGGGACTGTGCAGTTTGGGAGGAGCTGGTCTACTGGAGGAGTCTGTAAGGGTGTCCCACCGAATCGCTGCTTCAGTAAACCTGGGGTCTTGAGCTCCTACCACGTCTCTCAAGCGCTCGGGCACTATCTTCTTGACTAATGCACTCGAAGATAAGATAAGATTTCGTTCGGATTTTTAACCCCGGAGGGTTAGCCACCCATGATAACCCAAGAAAGTCAGTGCATCATCGAGGACTGTCTAACTTATTTCCATTGGGGTCCTCAATCTTGTCCCCCAGCATGCGACCCACACCAGTCGACTAACACCCAGGTACCTATTTGCTGCTAGGTGAACAGGACAACAGATGTAAGGAAACGTGTCGAAATATTTCCACCCGCCGGGAATCGAACCCGGGCCCTCCGTGTGTGAAGCGGGAGCTTTAGCCACCAGGCCACCGGGCCACCGAAGACAGAAGACGAAGACAGAAAAGTAGGTAAAGCAACATGCGTTGCTTTACGCACCCCTATACCTCCCAGTCGCACTGGGAGGGTTGCCTGATCCCATTGCTCATCCTCTAGTGACAGGTTCAGTGCCTTCTTAAAAGTTGATCTCAGGTGTGCGTCATATTCATCGAGTGTTGGGTTGTCAAAAGAGGGTGCACACAAGAAGTGAGTCTTGGCATAGTAAGACACCTTGTGAGGAGATACAGAGCATCATGGGCATCAAGATCGCTTATTCTCTCCTCCATTCTCATCAGGTCATTCAATTTGTCCCTGAGGACAGTATCGAGGGCCTGGTGACCCAGCGGTGCCCCCAAAAGGGTACTGTTGGACGGAGTTGTAGTTGAGACTTCTGGGAGGATTCTTTGCACAGCATTGATATATATATATATATATATATATATATATATATATATATATATATATATATATATATATATATATATATATATATATGTCTGTATGTATGTCGTGCCGAATATGTAAAACTGGTCAATTAGCAAGAACTCATTTAAAATTAAGTCCTTTCTAAAAATTTCTCTTATACGTTTAAAGATATATTTTTTTCATTAATGTTAATGTAAAATTTTTTAATTTTGCACCAAAAGAATCTTAGAAAACTTATCTAGCCTTATTATAACAAGAACAATTTATTTTAGTCTAATCCTACTAAATATATTTTAAATACTTTTACAGTAATTTAATACTAAACAAACACAATGAAATATATTTTTTTCGTTAGGTTCAGAATGATTTTGGCGAAATTATTGCATACACAAATTTTCACTTGTCCTATATGGCAAGATGAGCGTTGCTATTTAAGCCAAGATCGCAAGTTCTGCCTATTCGGCACGACACATATATATGTATATATATATATATATATATATATATATATATATATATATATATATATATATATTATAATATATATATATATATATATAAAATATATATTATATATATATATATATATATATATATATATATATATATATTGTGTGTGTGTGTGTGCGCGCGCGCGCAATAAAATCACAGTAAACATAATCAGACTTTTTTTTTTCTGTATCGAGATTTACAAATACAACTTTGTTATTAAAATTGTTAAATAGAGAAAGCATATGAGCCAAGTTTTCATGGTGAGGGGGAACCAAAATATTCTTGGTTGAATATGAGTGTTTGTCGTTTTTAGAACTGTAAAAATATTTTAAACAGTTTTAAAGGATTTGTCAATTCAGTTTTTTTTTTTTTTTTTTTTTTATCATTAGCTATTTCATAAATTTTCAAGATTTCTTCATCTATGAACTCTGGGTTGCAAATACGCAAAGCTCTCAAAAACATGGATGAAAATACAGAAAGTTTAACTATATCATAATATGAAGAATAATAGTGCACATAAGAACAGTTATTAGTTATCTGTATAGTAACTTGAATTTAAAATATTGGTTCCCCTTAATAATTAAAACATCTAAAAAAATGCAGTGAGTTTTGTTCAAACTCAACAGCAAAATTTATGGAATGAGCAACAATATTTAAAAAAATTAAAATCAAAGTTGTATTTAAAAATGTTATTACAGTAAAAAGAAAAAAACACATTTGATTAAGAATTTTCCCCAAAATGCTGATGGCTGTCTATAAGATTCCCGGTAAAAATGCAATAAAGTTTATAAACTGGGAAAAACTTTGAACTAAGATTACAACAATCTTATAAGAAAATAGGTGCAACACTTACACGTAAGTGGTAGACAGGTGTCGTTGGCACACGAGAAGCAGTATAGTATATTGCAGTCATGTACTTCGGTAGAATTGCAGTTCCTCTTAGTTAAGTTGTAAGTATCGGTTATATTAGTTGCTTTGAACTCTGCAACATAAAATAAACTGTATCATCCATTACAGTGAAGGGGTTAACAGCAATGTGTTACAACTACTACACGGGACTAGGGAATTTTGTTTGCCTTCAGAGATGACTTGTAAAGCTTTCCTAGACACATGGAGTAGCAGAGAGGTGAACTGGGGCTCCAACTTAAAGATGTACCAAGAGTCTTCTTGGTAATGTATCAAGAGTCTTCATGTTAATGTTGTACCAAGGGTCTTCATGGTAATGTTGTACCAAGGGTCTTCATGGTAATGTTGTACCAAGAGTCTTCATGGTAATGTTGTACCAAGGGTCTTCATGGTAATGTTGTACCAAGGGTCTTCATGGTAATGGTGTACCAAGAGTCTTCATGGTAATGTTGTACCAAGGGTCTTCATGGTAATGTTGTACCAAGAGTCTTCATGGTAATGTTGTACCAAGGGTCTTCATGGTAATGTACCAAGAGTCTTCATGGTAATGTTGTACCAAGGGTCTTCATGGTAATGTACCAAGAGTCTTCATGGTAATGTTGTACCAAGGGTCTTCATGGTAATGTTGTACCAAGAGTCTTCATGGTAATGTTGTACCAAGGGTCTTCATGGTAATGTTGTATCAAGAGTCTTCATGGTAATGTACCAAGAGTTCATGGTAATGTTGTACCAAGGGTCTTCATGGTAATGTTGTATCAAGAGTCTTCATGGTAATGTTGTACCAAGGGTCTTTATGGTAATGTTGTACCAAGAGTCTTCATGGTAATGTTGTACCAAGGGTCTTCATGGTAATGTTGTATCAAGGGTCTTCATGGTAATGTTGTACCAAGAGTCTTCATGGTAATGTTGTACCAAGGGTCTTCATGGTAATGTTGTACCAAGAGTCTTCATGGTAATGTACCAAGGGTCTTCATGGTAATGTTGTACCAAGGGTCTTCATGGTAATGTTGTACCAAGGGTCTTCATGGTAATGTTGTACCAAGAGTCTTCATAGTAATGTTGTACCAAGGGTCTTCATGGTAATGTTGTACCAAGGGTCTTCATGGTAATGTTGTACCAAGGGTCTTCATGGTAATGTTGTACCAAGGGTCTTCATGGTAATGTTGTACCAAGGGTCTTCATGGTAATGTTGTATCAAGGGTCTTCATGGTAATGTTGTACCAAGGGTCTTCATGGTAATGTTGTACCAAGAGTCTTCATGGTAATGTTGTACCAAGGGTCTTCATGGTAATGTTGTACCAAGAGTCTTCATGGTAATGTTGTACCAAGGGTCTTCATGGTAATGTTGTACCAAGGGTCTTCATGGTAATGTTGTACCAAGGGTCTTCATGGTAATGTACCAAGAGTCTTCATGGTAATGTTGTACCAAGGGTCTTCATGGTAATGTTGTACCAAGGGTCTTCATGGTAATGTTGTACCAAGGGTCTTCATGGTAATGTACCAAGGGTCTTCATGGTAATGTTGTACCAAGAGTCTTCATGGTAATGTTGTACCAAGGGTCTTCATGGTAATGTTGTACCAAGGGTCTTCATGGTAATGTTGTACCAAGGGTCTTCATGGTAATGTTGTACCAAGAGTCTTCATGGTAATGTTGTACCAAGGGTCTTCATGGTAATGTTGTACCAAGAGTCTTCATGGTAATGTTGTGTTGCAACCCCTGAAAGGGTTGCAATATATATATAATGTATATTACCTTTTCATATAATTTTATATTGCTTATATTTGCGATAATAGCTAAATCGTAAATATATTGCTTTATATTGTTATTTGACGTAGTTATGTTGTTAGGTAGGATGTAACATATTATGTGCTCAGTTCAAGTCTTGATTGTCTAACTACTGTAATTATCGCTGTTTGCTCGTTATATTGCCGGCTTCTTGCTGGGCGACTGCAACCCACGGAGCTATCACGTGGTTGAGGGGGGGTGTCCTCACCTCGCCTGAAGTATTCAGTCTGCTCTAGACTCGCTTGGTGGTTGGACAGATTGTCTGTCTCATTATTCTTGTTAGTTCTGTAGAACTCTGTTCACAGAACCTTGTATAGACTTAGTGATTTTCGACGTTGTACTGAGGTTGTGTGTCTCATAGACACTCTGAGCATCTCAGGTCCTGAGCTATAACTTCTGACTTAACTTGTACTGGTTTCTGTGTATTATCACAGTCGGGGATTTTCTTATGCTGAACTTAGATTCAGTAGTATGGGAGTTTTGTAACTTTTGTGGAGGATCTGCTGATGGTCCCTACTTAGTGTCGTTATATTATCTCCTTGTTCCTGATTCTGGGTTGCAGTTGCTTGTGGTATTGCTATTGGGTTTAGCATTCTTTTTGTTGTTCAAGCAGACTGTTCTGGTTGCCAGTCGGTTAAGAAGTTAGTTTATGAGAGGACTTTGTCAGTCACTTGTTTAAGTCTAGTCGAGTCGTGAGACATAGTGAACTACTTAGAGCACTTACACGCATACACAAACTTGTGCATATTTGTAATATCTTATTAAATGTTAATGTACCAGACGGTACTTAAGAATTATAAATGTGATATGTGCTTTCAGCACAATAATATTGAACTCGAGAGATGTGATATTATTTTGATTACTGTGATTAATTTAATTTAATTTGATAATATACCTCTAGACTTAATAAATTTATTAAATTTTAATTTCTCTAGTTAGTAGCCTACCAGTTGTAATCCTGAAGCACTATTGAATCATACTGAATTCTAATGGATAATTGGACAAGGATACTGACTACTTGTTACGAAAACCCAGTAACAGGCTGGATGCTAGAAGGGCAGTCCTTTCTAGTATTCACTGGAGATCTCTAAGCTTTTAGAATCGCGTTTTTTGTAACAAATGGGGGCCTGTCCGGGATGCTCTTGATCCAAGGTGTTGGAGAAATTGTCCAGTTTGACATACTAGTAACTATGATCAAACACTGAGTACTTTCCTAATCTGAAGACTTTGAGTTTAGTCTTGTATAACATACCAGGTGGATGTATGTACTTGACTGAGTCTCTTGATCCAAGGAGATGGAAATACTGTTTATGAGTTCTAACTCTAAGACGACCAACACTAAAATTCCTATTAGGATTATAGTTTCCAATAATCACTCTCTCGTAGTACAATTATTTTCGTGATGTATGCCAAAGTGAAACAGTAATTGATACTCTGACTTTGTCTGAGTTAAGTACATTAAAACTTCAGACGTGTTGGCGAGTAGCCAAATATCTAGGTGTGACGTATTACAGGAATTACACAGCAGAAACTGTCAGAGCATTAATTAAAGATATATTGTTTCCTGCTAATACAGAGATGTCTGATTATGATTCAGATTCAGAAAGTCTAGTGTCACAATTAGGAAGTATGACTCTATTTGATGAAGTAGAAGAAAGAGCAACTAAGGCAGAAGTGAGCCTAGTGTCTGAGCCTAGTGTAGCTCAGTTCTCGCTCACGCCTTCCCTCACTGACACAATAGTACAGAGTATAGCTGGTTGGATGACTCAGCCAAATACTAGTACTGTGTATGCTACACCTGTATCTACTTATCATAGACCAGATCTAGACTCTCTAGGGACGGTTGGACGAGGTGCCCGACCTAAGGACCGTCCAGACCATGTTAGATTCCCTACTCCTCCATTACCTACTGGTCCTATCTCTCAGGAACAGTTTGAGAGGTTAGAACGCCTCATTATGTAGCAGACTGCACAAATAGAGGCACAGAGGAAATTAAACGAAGAAGATTTCCAAAGAGAAAATGTTCGTCTGGGAAGACAACAGACTGATATATCACAGGACACATTTAATGTGCAGAAAGCTGCATCCATGGTTCCTAAGCTTTTTGAGAGTGACTTAGACACCTATTTTGATGTGTTTGAGAACCAGGCACGTGCTATGAACTGGCCACGTAAGCACTGGGCAACATTGTTGCATACAGCGTTGACAGGAAGAGCTCAAACTTGTACTGCTGCTTTACCATTTGCCAAGTACATTAGTTATGACGCTGTCAAACAAACTATTCTAGAGACATATAACTTGTTACCTGTAAGTTATCAAAGAGCATTTCGTACGTTACAACGACGACAAGATCAAACTTGTGTAGAATTTGCTCGTGAGAAAAAAAGTTGCTTTTGAGAGATGGTCTAGAGCTGCCAAGTGTAACAACTACAACAGCCTTGTTCAGTTGTTACTACACGAAGAGTTTAACAACTGTATGCTTGCTGACATACAAGAATATCTGATCAATCATACTACCTCGGATATTCTGGAAACTGCAGCATTAGCAGACAATTACGAGATTTCTCACAAACTTGTACGTACTAAAACACAGAGAAACAAGGTAACTAAAAATTGTCCTAGAAGTTGGCAACCTAAATCAGCTGCTCATTGCCGGCCTGATGTATCTGCTACTGTAACTTCTCGTACCTTTACCAGGAAAACTCACAATCCTGAATCTGTCTCTGTGGCTAGACAGAAATCTGATATCGAGAAGAAGAAAGTTAAATGCACCTATTGTAACAGAAAAGGACATGCTAGAGAGTATTGCTATAAGTTAGAAAGAGATACAAGAAGCAGTCGTGCGACTGGCGCCCCCACACAAGTCGTATCCTCTTCCGAGCAACAAAGGCACCAAAATCCTAGTAATACCTCTGATCCTACTGTTTTAGATAATGTTACTCAGGATAGATGACTAGCGTCAGAAAGTGTATCTGACGAAAAGATTCGTTCAGCGATGAGTCCTTACTTTTCAAGAGGTAGAATAGGATTTGACAAATCACATCTAACTGAGATAATTACTTTCAGAGACACTGGCAGTTATCTCACATTATTAAGAGAAGATGTACTGCCCATAACTGATGATACCTATTGCAAAATAGATGTATTGTTAGAAGCCTATGGAGGGGCTGTTATAAAAGTGCCTCTGCACAAAGTTTATATTCAAACAAGCTATTATACTGGTTATGTTTCAGTGGGTATATCCAGTGGTGTATTTCCCATCAGGTCAGTGGACTTGTTGATAGGGAACT